CACAATGGGGTCAAGGGAAAGCCACTGTTGAGAGTCAGGATTTCTCTCCCCTAAGTCCTGTTCCATGGGACCTTCGTGCAAAGGCTGGGCCTCCTTTCTGTCCCTGTAGCTCGCCCTCAACACTCCAGATGACTTGCCCAGCAGAAGGTGGCCAGTCTTGGACTCTGGCCACTTGAGCATGCACATGGTGACCATGTCACACCAGACTTTCAGACACAGTCCAGTTGCCAAGAGGGGAAGGCAGTTTCCTCTGTGTGTGTGTGTGTGTGTGTGTGTGTGTGTGTGCACGTGCGTGTCCCTCTCAGGGCAGTCATCTACTGTGCCCTCCTCACTGGCAGGCCTCATCCCCAGCATAGACTTAGGACTAGGTGACACCCATCTGGGTGTGGTGGGGCCACCATGGCCAGGCATCTTCAGGAGAGCGCAAGAGTTTTCACGACAGGCGGGACTGTGCCTAGCCAAGGCAGGGGGACCGTAGGCCACAGGGCAGCAGGGCCAGGGCACAGCTGTCTCTGTAGAAGCCCCAGTGACCTGTCCCACCATGGCTGACACAGCTCCAGCCTCAGGGCCAGGACAGAGGACAGAGTCAGCCCCCGAGGGGAAGGGGACAAATGTCAGGGAGGACACACACAGGCCTGTGGTTCTGTCAGCCTTGAGCGCGCACGAGCGCGTGCACACACACACACACACACACACACACACACATGGCTCTGTGCCTGGGGCCGTGTTGACCCTGGGACCCTCTCCTTACCTGTCCCAGCAGGGTCCCCAAGAGCTGGGGTCCCACAGGGAATGCTTACTGGATTTTGGGTGTCTACAAAGTGGACGTATGGAATGCTGTGTGGGCACAAGAAATAGAGCCCTGGATCTTGGCTCAGTCAACTCTCAGTTCAGACTTCCTTTCAGACTTAGGCAAGTCACTGGTTAGGGACTAAACTGTGCCCACTCGTCCTGACCCCCAGAATGTATGGTTGCACTTGGAGACAGGGCCGTTAAACAGGCGTTTAGGCTAAGGGTGGTCATTAGGGCCTTCATGCCTCAGGATGGGCCTTGCAGGATGGGAGGGACCAAGGGTACTCACTTGCCAGCCAAGGACGGCTGCCTCAGAAGCCGCCGACCACTTCCGGCTCCAGAGCTGTGAGGGGATCACAGCAGCTGTGGGGCTTCATCACGACAGCCCAGGCCTACTGGGCCCTCCTGTTACCTGCCAGCCCTTCCCCAGGGGCTGTTGTGCAGATTAAGTGAAACAATGGCAGGGAGTCAACCGTCTGCAGGGCCACCCCGGAGCTCAGCAGCGCCATCTCCTGGATCAGGGCCCTTTGCCGATCACCTCCCTGAGGCGGAGGCACCCAGAAGATAGAGCTCTGGGCGGCCCCACTCTTCCGATGGGAGACCCTAGCGGTGGCTTCGGGTGGAGCTAGCACAGGAATGCCCGGGATGTTCTAGCGGCCCCTCAGCCCAGCTCGCTGTCTCCGGCCCCTTCTTGGGACCCTCCCAAGAACCTCAGAACCCCAGCCCCACCCTCTCTGGCCTCCATCATAGGCAATGGGCCCCTTCCTGGCTTCAGGGACAGTGCCGGGGCATGGAAGGGGACAGCATGGCATGAGGCAGGCTGCCTGCTTTCTCAGTCTGGCACCAACCTCCAGGGCCAGGTTGCACCTGCCAGCTGGTGGAGTGAGCAGGGCAGTGCACAGGTTCAATAACACTGGGCTCTGTGCCTGCATGTCCCCAGGACCTAGAAGAGCGCTGGCATTCAGTAGCACTCTTTAACTCCGACTCCCAGCGAGACCAGGGATCAAACTCAGGCACAGTGCCACTGAGCTAAATTCCCGGCAGCACTCTAATTTTTCATTAGTCAGTGTCAAGGGCACAAATGCGAACCATCCTCTATCTGACAAAAGTGAGATACTGCTCATGAGGGAGAGAAGCCCAGAGGCCATGGGAACATAGATAAGGGCTGCCTGGCCCAACCTGGTGAGAGGCAGGAAGTCCTGAAGGCTTCCTGGGGGAGACGGGCTTTGACGCATACATAGGAGTTGACCAGGTGAAGATCGCAGGGACTGGTATTTCTGGGAGAGTAACAGAGGCAAAGGTAAGAAGCGGTTCAGGGAATGATCCAGACCTGGGAATGACAGGAAACGAGGACCACGGGGATGTAAAAGATGACCATGCTGATGGGCAAACCTGGGCTGGTCTGAAAGATGGGGGTGGCCGAGTGCCCTGCAGGCCCTGGCACGGGAGAGGATCTTCAGTGGTGAGGAGCATCTCCAGAGCCACCCCAGGACAGGACCCAGCTGTGGACAGAGCAGGCAGAGTCATTTTCAGAAGGATTTTTATTAAACTGCCCCCACAGTGCCTCCTGCAACGATCGTGTGTTCAACCAGGACGGGCCCTGCCAGTTCTCCGCTGTGGCAGAGGTGGGCTCGTCCCTGTGTCCGGGTGGCTGGCCTGGCATGGGGGTTCCGGCAGGGCTCAGGCCGCGG